ACTCTTTCAGGAAAGATGCTTTTGTAGGCTTTTCACATATAGCACAGGGAGTACACACATACAGAGCCTATGAACCTCTATGTAGTAAACAACTCTGTATATTGTCTTTGGCCCTAGGACAGAGTTTTTGACCTGGGGGTCTGAACCCACGCCTGGAGACTGGCATGGATTTGCTTGACTGATTCTGGTTTATGTTTTGAATAAAATCTGTTCTTTCCCTGCCATTAGAAACAGAACCCGTCCCCATGCTACTACCAAATTTCTGGGGTCACTGGGATTTTGGGGTATATGCTATAAACAAGGTTAAATGTGAAAAAGCAGAGAAACAGTCCTTTTTTATTCATCTTTTTGCCTCTTGTCTGTTTGATTACAATTTATGGCTCATGAAAAAACTGACAAAACTCTGCACACCTTTGATTGTATGACAAGTGCATTGGAGGAAGACAGCAAATTGCAAAAACATTTTTTATGTTTTTGCCGTTTATGGTTCACAGAAGAAAGCAGTTGCATCTAAAATATTCTAACCCTGGGCTTTTCTTTATTTCTTGCATCATTCAGCACCAAGTCTCATTTTATCTTATGTAGTTCAGCTAAAACCAGGAGTAAACAAGTGGTTATATTGTTTAACAGTAACCAGATCTACTGACTGGCGTGTAAACAGATTTCTTCGCTGCATGCAGAGATAAAAAGCCTCCCTTTACAAAGCACCAATAATACTAAAGAGTGATGGAGACTGACAGTCAACTTTGTATGCAGGTATACCTTAATATAACCCAGTAACTACAGTACAAGCTGTTAGTAGGATTAGCAGAACAATTTAGTGTTGAAAAAAATATACTTTATACACTGTACACTGTTTAGTGTATGTGTGAATACATTCATGTATTCATATTTACTGTATCAGTGCAAATAACTTTTTAAATTTTCTTCTACATATCTCATCCACAAGGACAAAATAACATTATATACACGAAACGTACAAAATGTACAGTACCTTTGTCAGGGCACTGACATGTATGAACACCAAAAGATAATCATGATACAACACATAAACAATCAACATAAAGAAATAAATAGCTTATAAACAGGTGCAAACAACAACAAAAACATTTTTGCAATATTGCCTTTGTTGGACAAGATTTCGTTTTTACATTCTAGCTTAGCAGCGCAGCTTCCCTTTACATCACTTTTACAGTGTTCAGTAGTCTGCAGAAACAGCAGCTTTCCCCACAAGCACACAGTCATCTGCTGCCGCCGTGTGGGGAGCAGGCTTCACCACATGGCGATGTCACATGGCCTTCCATGTTCCCATACCTAGCTGATCTTTTGCAGTAGTTTCTCTTCTATTAGTTCAAACTGCACGCTGACTGACATTTCTGCGATGAACTGGTCACATCCTTCTTTGGTCACCTGTTTGCAGTATCGCAAGTCGATATGACATATGCTTCCACAGCGCTTGAAATAGGTCAGCGACTGGTCTGTGACCCTGTTACAGACTGAAGGAGGAGAAAGTGGGTTAGAAAAAAATAACAAATGATGTGTAACGAGTCACCTGTACTGACATAAGCTATGGCAAGCATGGATTAATCAATCCTGTTCATGTAAGCCTCATTGTAGTGTTTGGGGACAAATATTACACCCATCAGAAAGCCCAATGCATTTGCCTTTCAGTGATTTCCATAATGGCCCTTTGATTCAAGGCTTTTAACTTTTAACAGCACTCCAGAGAGACAACAAGAATAAGATTGTTTTAGTATCTGTGCACTCTACAGTAAGTGATCAAATCATTTTTGATGTGATTTCGGGGGCGGCTGTGGCTCAGGAGGTAGAGCGGGTCGTTTCCTAACTGGAGGATTAGCGGTTCGATTCCAGTCAACATCCAGTCATCCAGTCAACATTTCGAAGCGTCCTTGAGCAAGACACTGAACCCCCAGTTGCTCCCGGTGATGTCACTGGTGTGTGAGTGTTTGGGAGTGTGAATGGGTGAATGGCCAAATAGTGTGAAAGCACTTTGAGTGTGCTGTAAAGCATAGAAAGGCACTATACAAATATACAGTAAGACCATTTCATGGCTCTAATAGCGCAGCAAGAAGTAACAGCTTTTGAAATGATCATGAAGTTCAATCAACATCTTGCAAACAGTTTCAACAAAAGCCAACCATTATCTTCATGGAGAGAGGATTTATTGAAAGCATTCATTGTGCTATAGTATACTGAAGTAAACGGAAATACAATCCCAACAAATAAATATAGATGTTTAAATTGATCTCATACCATACTTTCCAGACAAACCTTGTTTTCAGGTTTCAAATCTCTCCCCGCTGACCACAGTGTTACCATTTTAACAAAGGTGACTAAATGTTCAATATGCTCCATTGCACACTGCAACCGTCACAACCTCCAGACTGATTTTCTATCTGTGCCAACATGAAATGAAACAAGTCGCTGTCTGGAAGGTGGGAAATCAATATACAACATGCTTTGGAGAATGTTCTACAGTACTGTAAAGTACATGTGTTTTGTGGTTAATGAGGTCAAATGTGCAGAAAAACGCCATTATGGCCCTAAAAGCAAATATTTAAATGAAATCTGTGGGACTGGTTTATAAATTTACTGGAAGTATTATACACTGCAAATAGAGACGGTAACTCAAGATGTGGCAGTACCTGACAGGTTGATGTCAGTGAGTGAATCTCTGGTGGTCGTCCCTGCAGCAGTCAGGATGTTGACAGACTGGTCAGTGACGTGGTTACAATAGCTGAGGTCCAGCTTGGACAACAAGGGCATATAATGAATGATGAGGCGCAGAGATGTGTCTGTGATGTCCAACCCTGCCAGACGCAGGTCCTCCACGTTACGCAGCTTACTCCTGTTGTCTAGCTGACCTACAACATTTTTGTAAACAAGGAAAGAAGATTAACAGAGGCACAGAGGAAGAAAAGAGACTATTTAATATGTCTGACCATACTGTATAACTAGCCTTCCTCTGTGCCACAAATCTTCATTGTATCCAACAACAATTATGAACACATCATTGTAGTTTCCCTGGCTCACAAGCTCCTTCATTAGCAGTAACACAAGGCAAGGCAAGTTTCTTTACATAGCACATTTTCATATGCAATAGCAATTCAAAGCGCTAAATCACACAGAAGGATAACACATTAAAATGCATATATAGATAAATCATTAGAGTGCAAAGGAGATAAAACATTAAATATTAATTCAAAGCAACAATTACATGATAGTACAAGCAGTAGCATGCATGATACCTAATACTTTTAGTATAGCTGTGGCAGACTGTGGATTCTCACTGTGCTGCAGTTTACTTAGTCAGTCCCACAGTCACTATCTTGCTGCTGTACATACATTAGATGTGCATTAGTCCGCAGCTGAAAATAGTCAGGAACAATTCAAGTGAACTGCAATGCATCAGTATTGTTCTGTATTACTCCTCTCATTAATTGGTCATGTCTGCTCACTCGTTTCTCAGACAGTTTCAACAGAGCATGCAGCAAACAGCAGGTTGGTACCTGGCCTGTTATCTGTGGGAGGTGACAGCAGGTCTCTCATCTGTGCATCTTTCAGTCCCTCAACCCACTGAACATCCAGAGTTCGCAGAAGGGGGCAGCTCGAGGTACAAAGAGCAGAGACCGCCACCCAGGAGCATCCTGACAAGAGCAGCACACGAAGACCTACAGGGACAGTGAGGACATACAGAACCTTATGTTAGACGCCTTCAGTCATCTACATTTTTGTGTTCTTCTGTAAATGCCTTGAGCTTTTCCATGTGGCCACAAGCAGCAATATGGCGAGCTAAGTATACTATATTGTATTGTATTGTACAAGTATACTACATTGCTGGCAATGGCCCCTCAGCTCCTGCAGCCTCTCGTCAGTCTAACAGTCAGAGAAAAAAACATTTAAAAAAGCAATTAGTGCCAGCGTGTTTTGTGCAATTCACAAAGTGTAGAAATAATGAATTTGCAACATATTACCTCAATATTCCACACCAAAACGAGACCACCATTCCCCGTGGAGGCACATCTTTCTGTTTATTTCCCCCTCATTGTTTTCCTTTGTTCTGTTTTCTCATTGTTTCACTAAAAAATTTTTTAAATTAATTCATGAATTGATGATTGATTTAATGGTGGATAGCAAACCAACTTTCAGTGCAATAAATTAAAGAGGGTCACATTAAAACCTCTCACAAACTTTACCCGTGTAAGTAATTTTATCTATAAAAGACGTTTCTCCTCAGTGTTCTGTTTGTGAATAAATTATATAAATTGTGCAATAAATTAACCTGTTATTGCAGAGGTGCATCATGGGAGTTCAGTAAATAGTAGAGAGAGCAGTTATAAAATTATAGTTAAAGTGTTCTTATGTGTTACCCCATTGTTGTTATGTGTTAGTGTTGCTGACTTATGCTGGTGTGTTATCTGACAATGTTTTACTAAGTTAATTGCTGTGCTGTGTTTTGGACCGTCACTTTGGCTTGCATGTGTGAGACTGACCCTGGGGGAAGTGCCATTGTTCAGTGGTTATAAATAAATGACAGAGAAACCAGTGTTGCACTGTGGTCATTGTTAAAGGACACGCCCAGGCAATATCCAGAGTCATGTAGTGTATGGGGCCTGGAATAATCGCTAACCAAGATCAGCATAGGCGCTAGCGCCCTGCTAGCTAGTTTAGCTGTACCAGTGTAGCTAGTCTCTCTCCTCCATGCCAGGGGTCATTACATTTGGTGTCAGAAGTGGGATTTGCGGAGTACCAACACTGCTATGGAGAGAGACATAGGCAAGTTAGAGCGAGCAGTACTGGAAAGCAGCCTGCTATTGGAGCACCTCCGGGGGCAGCCTGGGCGGAAGAAGATGGCACCATGCAGGCCAGATGTGCCAGCATCCCTCGATTTCCCGGCCGTTCTCTGACTCCCCAGCTGGTTCGACAGGAGGACCCTGGGCACACGCCGTTAGCCCACACCCCTGCTAAGCTGCCACGATATAACGGGCTAACTCCAGTGGAGCCGTGCTTGGCACAGGTCAACCTGGCAGCCTGCCATGGGGGATGGAGCTCCAGTGAAACAGCTGTTCACCTGGCGTTTCTGCGGGACCTTGCACCAGAGAGGCTTTGACAGCACGTACGGCTCGCCACACCTTCGTCCCTTGATGAGGCTTTGAGGGAGGCAGAACGGGCCGAGGAGGTGTTGCAGTCTGCAGTCAGCCCCACCCAATGTACCCCCCCCAAGCCCGGCGCGAACCCTGGGACAACCGTTGTTTCTGCTGTTGGGAACCAGGGCACCTTGCTAGAGACTGCCCGGCTCCAAGGCCCAGGAGAAGGATCAAGTCACAGCTGGGAAACGAGCCTGGGGTGAGGCAGTGAGGGGGGCCCCACTCCATGCTCGGGAGCCCCTCCAGGAGGACACCCAGGTAGTAGGACGCTGTGGGCCTACCTGTGGACTTTATCTGGACTGTGAAATTGCTGGACAGTCCTGCCGAGCACTGGTGGACACTGGGTCCACAATTTGTCTACTACGCAGAAGATTGTTACCAGGGACTGCTGGCCCCCTTCTGGAAGACTGGACCCCCACCATCACTGAACTGTTAACTGTCACTGGTGAGAGAACCCTGATGCTGGGAAAAAGGAACCTGCCTGTGGTGGTGGGGGCACAGCCGACGGGGCATGACTTCTGGTTGGCTGATATCTGAGACGACTGCATCATTGGACTAGACCTGCTGACACTCTGGGGGGCAAGTGTGGATGTACCAAGGTCCCTCCTCATCTTTGGTGCGGAGACTGTGCCACTCTGGACGGACGAGAGAGGCCACTGTGCGGAGCACCCAGAGGGACAAAGTCACCAGGTGGGGGTCATCACCTCATGCCCTCCAGCCACCCATCATTAACCCTCCGCCCAGGCTGGGTTGGAGGGGGCTCCACCACAGTCAACAGCCCCTCATTCCCCATCAGCAGAAACAACCACTGCAGTCAAAGAGCTCGGGCAGAGGAGCAGCCACCTACTGGACCAGCTCTGATGGACCTCTGTAACTCATACTGGGCTCTCCTGTACTCCCCTTGGTCCCCTGCCTTCTCCTGATTTTCTGTTTTATGTCCACATTGAACCCGGGTTCTTGGTTGGGGCAGACACGCACAGTTCTGGGTGGGGCACATATGGACGTGCACCAGCTGATGTATTCGCTCACAGTCTCTCCATATTCATGGATATTGTCTGTGGCTCCTTTGAAACATCATTTCACTTAGTTCCTGTTTGAACCATTCTTGGAAAAAGAGAAGCACTGACTGTGTGTTGATGAAGCTGTTCTGTTATGATGTGTGTTCCGGCATCAAGGTGTCATAAAATAGTAAAACTTCATTATTTGTACATCCTGTAACAAATGTACATTACAGAGACAAGAAGTGAACAGTTAAAGTAAGTAAATGCACAAGATCATAAAGACAATGGCTTCATTAAACAGTGTAAATATGCATAAAATTGGGTGTAAAGTAAATGCTTTCTTGAGGATTGTAGATGTTAATGTAATAATATCAAATCTGTGACCTTGAGAAACAGCTACCCACTATCCCCTGCAGGTATTTTTGTAATATTCTATATCTCTGTGGTACAGAGAACAGCCATGGTCTTAATGATCTTTTTAATCCAGTTATGTCTTAAATTGCATTATCCCATTATCATAATGAACCTGTTATTGCTGAAAAATAAAAGGATGATTATTTTGTTTTCACTAGATGAAATAGGTGATTTTTCTTGATGAAAATGAGTAAACTTAGTCTCAAGGAAACAGATACAGTCAGGGAAAAAAATT